GAGCAAAAATTTTAAAAATCTAATTGTTGTAAAATTTAAAAAAATTGTTTCGTATTTTGTAAACTCAATTTTCAATCGTTTTAATTAATATTCGTGACAGCATCTCGTATTATTAAAATACTGCAATGAGTGACCATAAAGATAAGATTTTTTTAACACCTGTCTTTAACACCTGAGTTAAAATACAAAGACATTAGCATGTATATTGAACGTTGGTCCGAAAAATCTGCAATAATGACATAATAGCTATACATGGAGTATAATATGCGTCTGTCATATCAATCCGAGAGATTGCATGCAATTTCGTAAATTTGCAGTAAAATTCGAAGTTGTAAGAACCGATTACAAAGCCCGGCTGTTTACCCGCGAGATTAGTGTACGCACAATGCCGCCGTTTATTATCTCCGACAGTGACCAAACCGATCGCTATCGCCGAGGGCCGTTACTTAATATTTTGTCGTAAAAAAAGGAGACGAGAGAATCACTCAGAAGGACGCAAAGCCTGGACCATGACACGAATACGTCGTACGAGTGATGAAGTTCGCGAGGATCCTGCTCATAAATCATATGTGAAAAAAATGTTTGCGGCTAATCCTACATGGTATGCTAGCAAAAACATCATGTGTGGCAACCGTGAATAATGACTGCCGTAAGCCGGACGACGAATCGATACCACGTCTTCGAGATATTGTAACATAAAATGTTACATTTCGAAAATCATAGAAGAGCGACTCGAGCCGCTCATTCACGCGGTCGGCGCTTTTTCCAAGGCAGGTAAAAACTGTGAGAAATGAAAGGATCGTCTGAAAAAAGGCAATCCTACATTCCTAAGTTATCATATCAGAAATTAATCAGACAAGTCGATGGAATGTTTAGAGATTACGCTGTGAAATTCTAATGAGCACATCGAGAGAAAGTCTTATTAAACCAAGTTGTGAAATAAAGTCCAAATAAAATTAACAAGTTAAAACTTGTATAAAATAGACATTTATATTTTTACGAAATGTTGTACATATATTTATTCTGATAATAATCTTAATTAAAATAAATTCTAATTTCGCGCGATCAAAGTATCATTCGATCGCTCATTGCAAATAAATACCAACAACTGCGTCTTATACGATATTATGTAAAAATTCTATAAATAATTCCGACGTCATAGGATTATAATATATCTGGGGCTGATTTAAATTGTAAATGGAGAAGACGAATTACACCGCGTGAATTGAAACGCGGTCTTCGCTGCGGCGCACCGGCGGAGGAATACATTCCTCTAGGAAATTTTAAGCAAATTTAAAACACAAAACGATCAATCCCTCCATTCATCTTATCCTCGAAGACACGGCTTATATGTATGCTGCGACGAGGGTGGGTAGCCCGTGTGTAACTGAGAAGTTCACGCGATAACGATCTCAATGTTCAGGATTTTCGAGAGTTGAAATACAGATATCACCCACGACGAGACGTTATCTATTTTCGAGCGAGGCCTACCCCGGCTTCCCAACACGAATTAATATTCTACCACCGTGCAGAAATCGCCCACATTGCCGTACGGTAGTTAAAAAAAAAGGAAAAAATCGTCAAGAGAGATACGCGGTCGAATTCCTTAGTTTACTTCCCTGCAATCATTCAAAAGGGTACAAAAAAGAACGATAACTATCTATCTCTCGTAATAGTTTATCCGATAAAAACATATACACGAATTTACACACATCGTCAAATAACAAATATTGTAAGTATTATTGAGAAGAATTTAATAGAATTTAATTTATTGATGAGAAGAAATTAATCAATTTATATTAAGAAAAAACTAAGAATCAATTAGCCATTTAATATTACTTTATTAATTTTTCTTTTCATTTTCGATTGTATAACTATTGCATAAGAGTAATAAATAAAACAAGTCAGAAGCAATATTTGAATAGTAATATGCGAAATTGTTATTTTGACAACATAAACTATCGAAACTTAAATAGAATCTATAAACGCGCCTGTAACTCATTCCTCCCGTAACTGCCATAATTCATCGTAGAAAAGGTAACAGTAAAACTCTGCGAAGGGATGCATCTGCCGTGAGTATATAACTAACGCCACCTTAAATCCGTCGGGTCAGCATCGCTCTAATCAGAAAAGAAGGAGAAAGATGGAAAGCCTACGGTGAAGCGTCGGCGAAGAGCGTATCACGTTTCGTGTGAGCCGATATTTGTTACAAGTTCTTATAGATGATGAAGAAGCGTTGGCCGTGCGCGAGCGTTCGAGGCAGCCCAGAAAGGCAGAAAGGGGTGCTGGGCCCTTTGAGGGCCCTATTAACGAGCGGGGCCCCCCGCGGCCGCCGCTGCAGCGGCCCCAATCAGCCGTGAATCCAATTCGGAGCCCCGGCTTTGACTTGTTTTATGTAATGCCCGCGACGCCAGAATCAATTAGCCGTGGCACCCTCCTATTTTGCGTATGCATGCGCAAAGTATATGCATAGCGGGTGATCCCGGCGAGCCGAAACTTATTTGCAACTGTCCTGCGAGAGCGCGCGCGCAGGACGACCGATGGACGGGAAAAACCGGTTCCGGCCGCGAGTTAGGCGGAAATTAAATAGCTCGGGACAAACGGGGTTCAGAACGTAGCTGCTCGCCTCCGACCGTGCGGCGAATTAGGAACGCTAATTTTGCCGTTCGGATCCCGCGGGTTTTTGACACGGCCGACCTGCGTCAACATCGCGACTAGATAAAGGATGGCGCCAAGCTCCTTAAGTTCTTAAATAAGCGATTAAATTGAGTTAAAATCAATTCACGGAATTCACGGTATTAATTTTACCTTTAACAGTACAATCAAATAAATTATCGCTGATCTTGATTAAGAGTTTATACATTCTATTTTATATTTATATTTATTATGTAAATTTTATATCTTCTCATGTGTAATAAATTGCAATAAATAACATTACTAATGAGCAAATAAAATAAAAAAGAAGGATTCTCTTTTCAAAAAAATGTTATCGAAAATTATCATCGTTATTCGCCAACATATAGCCATCAGTGCGGCACGTTGATCGATAATTGTTCAACGTTGATTAACATACAAATTATCGTTAGCCATAACTGCTATAAAAAATAGCCGGTGTAGTCGTATCTTCAGCGAGATAACGAGAGTTACAACGGCGCGCCGGATTATGTTATAAGCGGAGAGATTCGACGAGTACGCGCGTATCAGGAGTGCGCCGTCGTAGCCAGCGCGGCGCGGTCAATTAGGCGGACTATCGTTACGTGTTTTAATGAGATCTCGGCGCGGAGCCGAAGGTATATAAAAGTGTTTTATGTCCTGTGAAACCGGCGCACCGTTGTGCCGTCAATTAGGAGACTACGGATCGCGCCGCCCATAATCAGCATATGCAACGTGTGGCGTATGCGCGACCCTTAAACCAATAACCAGGAAGCGAATGACCTCGACTTATTATTTTGGCAGTAAAAATGCCGCAACGCAGCTATTAGGCGCCGACAACATTTTCATGTTTATGCAAGATGTCTTTTTTTCGAAACCGATCACCATGCGCAAACGCTCATCGTACGATCGCACAAATGAGACACGATTCGAAAAGAAGAATACCATGATTATTATATAGAATATCACATAAGAATGTTTTTCAAACAAATATTTGAGTTAATGCTTCGTAATCAAGGAATGTTATAATGCTTATAATTGCAACTTTTTCTTATGACATCTCTACGTATTTCTTTATCATTAATTATTATGTTATTGTCCTGGAAATTCCGATAAGTACTTTAGTAATCTGACTTCAGATGGTTATAGTATCGCCATTTGAGACAGAGCAATCACGAATTCCATAATTACGTTCCATCTTTTACCGTCCATCTCCTTTGCCAATCGAATTCTATTCCCGGTAGAAAATTCCAAGGATCTCAAGGAGCAACGGATCACAGCGTGAACATTTGGTTATACGTCAAGCAGTGAGTGCTACAGCGCGCAGCGACCGGCATTAAGGCATACGTTTCACTTAAGTCGAAAACTACTAGAGAAAACGAATAGAGTCGGTGGCCGCGTGCACAATACCGCGTATAGGCTGAAGAAGCATATATCAAATCTTGTTTATATCTACGTGGGGCTCATCGCGCGCAACAATACGGCAATTTGGTCGCGGCCGATATGAGATCTCACGAAACGACGTTGCTTTCCCACCCTTCCGTTATACCCTCGCGGAGTAGACGGGTGTAAACCCCTCCGCCTCTCTCTTTTCCTCCGACTCTCGACATCGCATCGATTTAACGGGGACCCGTGCCATGATCCCACGAACAAGCTTGCGTGCATGCGTGCGTGCGTGCACACATTTACGTAGCGACGACGCGTGTACCTGCCGCGTCGTCCATTTCGAGAATCCTACGCGATCTTATCTGCCGACCGTGCAACCGCCACGACCCCCGCGAAGAGAATCTTTGATTTAGTGCAACGAGGGGGAGAATGGAGAATCGGGGAATGAGGGAGAAGCGGGAAGGCGGCAGACAAGAAGGGCGTCGTGTTTCAGCGAACTACGACTGGCGCAAATTCTAAGAGCGCGGCGTTCTCTTATAAAATCCGTTATTAGATCGAAATCAAATTAGAAAAAAAATTAAAAGATTTTTCATTATTTTCACGTATTAAATATGAATATTTTTGATACATCAGTCACGGAGAACGTTTTACACGAACGATTATAAATCTCTTTGCTTTCACAACATAAAGATCATCAATATCTTTAGTACATAAGAAACACATCATATTTTGTGATATTTATAGCGTTTGTTACATTTTCATAAATGTTATTGCAGTTTGAAAAAATGTTTTACTTTCTTTTATATTTGCATACTAAAAATATAGCATATTTTGTAAGCATGTAAGTAGAAATTGTTAATTTCATTATTTTTGTAATTTGTTTGATCTCGTATTATGAAATTAGCAAACTAAAGTTAAAAACATATGAATGAAACTAGTAAATTGTTTGCAGAAATACTTACGTCTTTCAATGGAACTTTGAATGCCAAGATTTTAGTGCCTTTGATTACGTCACCATAAGCTTTGTACTCTAACCACCTGCATAGAAACAATAATTATAAAATTAATAATAAACAATGTTGTAATTTAATAGTAAGAAATTGTTTGATTTTAATAAGAAATTTTATTAAACATAACCATAAAACTTTTTATAGTAAGTAGAAGTAAGTTTAAAAGTGATATTTAAGATTTCCGATAATTATTTTTGTAGTCACAAAAGACTTACACATTATTAATGTCTTTTAATTCCGGTTTAAGTCTTTCCAAGAATACTCAACACAATACAATCCTGAATTCGCTGATGAGAGTGAAAAAGATGATAAGTCATAATTTTGTAAAAACGGGATCAAGTTATATTTAGAAAAGACCTTCATTTTTGCATGTGTAAAAGAAGATAAGTAAAATCAGTTCAATTACTGAAGATATTACAAATGCATTAGTGAGTTAAGTCATAAGAATGGTGGAATAATTTTGCGTAAAGTACATCAAAAGTAACTTTTGCATAGTTTTTTCACCTAATTTTGAATGATTTCATCTTTTATTCAATATTATTATATCAATAATCAACAATGTTTTCTGCAGAAAGTTGAACCAAACTATGTCAAAATCGATAATTTAAGGTTAGATTTTTTCTGGCAAATTTTCTGAAACTTATTATTTTTGACTTTAACACCTTTTTCACAGCAGCGAATTGTAATATTTTATATTACCTATATATTCGATTCAAAAATGATTAAACTAAAACTAAAAATTATTAATAACTCGACCGTTATTTATTTATTCGCATCATATTCTCGCTCGCCAGTACCTAATTATATACTACAATTATATAGAAATAAATTATCAGTTTATTCTAATCCACCTTCTTTTAGAACTCACCACAAAATTAAATACTCGACATAGCTATTACACAACACATTAAAATTCGCGATAAAAGACAATCGACAAACAATTGTGCTATCTTTGACATGAAACTATTATTATTATTCATATTTTGAAATTCTACAGTAATCACCATCTGTGAGAAACGGCGGGAAATAACACGTGACATTCATGCTCAATCGATAAATCAGCTGTCTCGAGAATAGCGTCCGAATACTTTCAGAATCAGCAAAATTTTACCATATGCTCTAATAGCGAATCAGATAGACCAAAACTGCACTTTAATTCTTGGATTAACGATCACGTGTGATTGCACTATTAGCAATACTGCACAGATCGTGTCTCAAGTGTCAAGAAAAGTCGGCACAACATAACCTCTGTCACAATGTGATCTCGTTCGTGACAGTAAACTCAAGCGGCTTTAACTATTACGGGGCATTTGACGATCTTCATACATGTATAACGAATAAAATGTCACTCACCTATCCGGCACTGAATGCGTCATATTTGCGAATCACTCAAAAATCTTCCCGCGAAAGCTACGACATAACACTGTAGCGAGACGCAATACCGCCACCACACAGAACATGCACGCAGTAGCAGCAGCAGCAGCAGCAGAACGCACTCGTGCAGAATCGACAACGCAGAACGATCGATCGATCTCTCGATTTTTGCGTGGAACAAAAATTGGCGGCTGAATGGAATCCAACATTAAATCGATACATTATATTTAAACTTGAAATTAATTTTTACATTATTAATAAAACTAATCGTAACGGTGCTCAGTGGTTAATCATTCATTTTCTACGTTTTGGGAAGTATTGCTATTTTTAGATATAAATTATAAAATTATTTTCTCCAGAAATATACTTTAACAAGTTATGTTAAATCTCTTTGTAGCTGCATTATATTATACATTTTTAATACTAAATACGATATAAATGTTTAATTAAGCTGAAAAATAAATAATAAACAAAGAGAAAAAAAACAGAAAGAAATAAACAAAGAGAAAAATTGAAAAAGAATATTTAAAAACTGCTAAATACAAAAAACAGACTTATTATTAATCCAATAGTCATTTGTTGTTTTATAATACTTCAATGGATGATTAATTGTCGATATTAGCCTGCAAAATATTCTATGTTTTCAATTGTGTCAAAAAACCAATTAAATATGATTGACGGCACGTTAAACACACAATAAAAAAAAATATATTTTCATCCAATTATATACATAAAATTAATTAAAAAATTTTTTCTTTTTTCAATATTATTTACATATAATTAAAATAAAACAAATTAATTATTTGTTTTTATTAGTTATAATTAATGGTAATATTTTGTTATAATTATTATTGACAAGAGTAATATTTAAGATTTTCGATAATTATTTTTCTATCTAAGAAAGAAATTTTTAATTTCTAAACGCATTTATTATAAATATTATTTATTGTAAATATTAACTCAAGTACAAATATTAAATAAAGCTCAAAATACAAAAGAACTTGTGACAATGTTTTGCAGACTATACTATCTATTTAATAACTATTATAAAAGTTGTGCATGTCAAGTATTATAAATAAATTTTTAGATGACCAGAAATAAAGTACATGTAAGTACTTTTTCAGAATAACAAGAATTATACTTATATTTTTTATTAACTAATCGGACATTGTACATTTGTAGGTTGTGTCTCCAGTTGCAAAGCAATCTTTAGTATTTTGTTTTCCACATTGAGAAGTTCGGGTGGCTTTTCATACTAGAATAAATAAAAAAATAATAATAAACAATAATAAATAATATAGCTACAGAATATTATACAGTATTATATTTTATACAATGTATAAAAATCATGTCTTCTCATTTGCATAAATATAATTATTCCAAAGAATCAATGAGGCTTATGTCACAAAGTATGCAAATACATCAAATACCATTAATGTGATTAAGCAAAAAATAGTTTTCATACCGTTATTATTAAAGTATTGTATCGATGCATAAATGATATCCTTTCCTGTTCTGGTTTTAATCCAATTCGTTCTAGATCTAGAACATGTATCTTTTTGAAATACTTTTTGTTGCTTGTGCTTACAGTTATAGTGCCATCATCTTTAGCAGTAACCGAATATACATTCTCTGGATATGGTAAATTCCGAATTCGCCATTCCAGGGATCTTTTTGTAATTCTTTTTGTAATAATTGGCTGTAATTATAATCAAAAATATATATATAAGAAACTCATTATTCATACTATTTACTTATATATAATTTTAAGTTTTAATTTAAATTTACATTCTATTATTAAAAAAAAAAACATACAACATTTGCACTTTCTTGTATAACTTGTATAACTGTTTCGACATTCTGTTCAGGATGGTTTTGATAGTTTTGTTTAGGTTCAGGATCACCAACTTCTACATCCCAACCAATATCTGTCCCAAATGTACTTCTTTTTTTCCATACTCTTCGTACTACTACATTTGTATCTATGTTGTAGCATTCTACCATTTCTTTACCATCTTCAAATAGATAATGAACTTTTTTTTGTCCTATATAAAACATAATATAGTAATATTAATATATAGTTAAACATAATATAATCCTGGCATAATATTATTATATAATTAGAAAAACATTTCCTGCTATCAATTTTGTATAGCTATAATCCACTATTGATTAAACATTTATAGGTTAAAACAGATCTCATACACTGAACATGCTAGAATAACAATATGTAATTATAAATCGTAATGCAATGATTTAGTTATATACTTACGATTTTCAATAACAGCAGTTTTCTTGGCATTTTGAATAGTTGTTAACCACGAACAAGATGGCATTTTATCTAATACACAACCAAATTAGATAATACACAAACAAATTTGAAGTACTCTGGCAACCAAATCAGCTGAGTTCTCCCACTTCTACTTTCTTCTCAGTGCTTCTCAATTTGATCTGGGCGCTTACTCTAACTCTACAATAACGTATCGGCAGAAGACAAAATAAACCAATAAACTTTTATATGCGCACAACACATCGCATGGTGATATGGCATATCATTGATGACTGTAGAAAACATAACGGTTTGTGACTTTTAAATTTATCAAATGGTATGATTTTATATGATATATTTTAACATTATGTACATTTTATTCAATTTTATGCCGTAGAATCTTACATATTATTTGTTAGGCCTAGAACTTTACTACAATGCATTAAAATCTTACATTTTAGAATTCTAGACCATTTCTTTGCTTAAAATATGAGATTTTATCACAGTAAAGAAAATGTAAATTCTCAAATACATGTGTGATTACTAATGCAGAAATGTCTGGAGAGAAATGTGTTCAAAAAATTTACCAATAAGGTAAGCTTACTGATAAATAAGTAATTAAATATGTAATTAAATTTCATCAAAACTTATCAAGAACTTGTTATTGGAATGAAAACATATTACTACCTAACCCTTATAATTTGCTCACAATCAGTAAAAAAAATGACAAAGTATATAACACGTGGTTAAAATATATAGCATATGTATCAGCACAAAGGACTTATTATATGTAAAAAAAACATTGTTGCGTATGTATAAAACTTTTATTGTGTATTGACATGTTTTTGTAACAGTAATTAAAATACAAAAGTTGTACATTCGCAAAAAGGTGACATCAGAAATTCAGCTTAACGGAAGAGTATAAAATATCTGAGCATGCTAATCAATTATCTTACAATTAATTGTATTTTTTGTAATTTGCTTATTTTTTTATAATTTGCTTATTTTTTTATTTGTTTATCTTATTCTTTTGTAGGTCGCTTGCACTTGCAGTAATTGTTAAACCAAATACAGATTCGCAACTAACAGTTTAGAATCAATAAAAGGCTCGTCGATCATCATGTTCATGAAAAAATTTATTCTATTCTTTATTATACTTCAGCGCAACAGTCATGTAAAAAGGAAAGACAAATAAGTTCTTAATTATACATTATAATTATTGTAACTTCTAGAATGCAAGATACTTCCGAATTAAATGCGATATAATTGCGATTTGCACCACAGAAAAAATATTATATATATGTATAAATGCATAGTTCTGGATATATATAGAGGTAACTTATTGAGATATAATTACTTTGTTCTAAAATTTTATGTATAGAATGAAGATATATATGAGATCGTAAAATTCAACCTTCTATTAGTATGATTCAGCGACACTGAAAAATTCTAGAACACTGAAAAATTCTAGAACATTTTATTTTGTAACACTAACAGAAGGTCAAAAGAACCGAAAAACTGAGATATATAAAAAAAATGTAGTTAAGAAAAAAAAGATTTCATCGAGGATAAAAGATGCAGCTTCTTATGTAATTATAGGATATAATTATGAGTTTGATAAAGCTTTTTCGGTTCTCTTATGTTTTGAGCATTAAAATAAATACAATTAACTATAGAAAAATGGAGCAGTTTCAATCACAATAAAGCTTTGATGTAAAGACATTATTATGTGCGTCTTTAAAATATATAACTTTGTATGATTCTTGCACAAGCTGCCCCATCTTAATGTATTTTCAAATATGTATTATTATATTCATAAGGCACATGACTTATGTTAAAGTATAGATTATTTTCCGAAGTACATACGAAGATTATTATACATATTGATATACAATGTACACATATATGGAAACATGGCAATCATTTGACTGGATGAATCCAATTCACGTGTTGTCATGCTCATCAGTCTTATTTTTGCTAAACTTTTAATACAACACAGGTATAAAAAGCAGCACTTAAAATTTCCAATACTATTTTATAACTATTGTTCATTTGAAAATCATTCCTGACAATATATTGTTATATAAATTATTTGCACGACCATGATAGACTTCAAGTGTTTTTGCATATTTATTATATTTTTAATAAAGAATTATGAATATGCACTACAAAAAAATAGGAAGCACTTTTTAGACGCTTAGAATTAAACAATTTTCAAACCGCTAAAACTCGCAGACAAAATATTAAAAAAGTATTTTAAAGCTAATCTTGAAGTTTGTATTTTCATATAAGTTAGATTATTTTTTGAAAATTTTATTTTATTTTTTTTTTAGCCCCCAAAAAAGCATATTGTTTTGTTCCTTAAAATTATGTTTTATCAACACCATGCAGCTCGATAAGAAAATGTTTCTTGAAACACTTATAATAAGTATTAAAAACTACAATATTAAATTAATATTAATACAAATAAAATAATACAATATTAATACAAACTACAAAAAAACGTGTTCTTTTTTAATTTTGCTACGATATTTTTTAATCGACTTACATGACTTTGAAACTAAATCTACATTTTTTAATGTTAATGCGGGGGGTAAACGTTATTTTTTACAAAATGTTGAATTAGTACAATCTTCAGACTATAAATACTTTTTTTAATTTTTTGTATGCGATTATTTTTCGCAAAGTTTCAACGGTTTGAAAATTATTCAATTTTGATGACAGAGAATTGTTCTCTATTTTTTTGTGAAGTAGTGTATAAATGTCATGTTTAATTTTTCTAAAATTGTATTAAAATATAGTTTTATATAAATATTAACAAAATCATGATAACTGTAATTATATATAAAACAAATATAAATATATATTGTATATGTATAATGCACGAATAATACATCTTATTTTTTACCTTTAATAAAAAGTTTTCATAATTTTTTTATGAATTATATTCTGTTATTATCTCTGTCATTACACTTTGCTGCACTTTGAAGTCACCCTCATGTTTTGTTCGATATATTATGAATATTATTATATCAAATGCTCCCAAAACCGATAAACGTTATTAAAAATTTTATACAATTTTTCTTCCAGATACGACGATAAAAAAGTAAGCAAGTTAATCAATACATACAAGTTATTTTAATCTCCAGAAATGCATTAACAACCATATTTGATTAAGTTGTTATCTTATAAAATGTATTCCAAAGTATACTTCCTATAAAAAATGATATAGCACTTCCAAAAATTAGCTAATTTGCTACAGATGCATTTATGTAATATGTACATTTGGCAACTTGAAATATTTATAAAAAATTGATAAATGGCACAAGTATATGCATATAACAAAACTATTCTATTGTAATATGTAGGAAATTTGTTCCTAGATATACAGCAAGAATTTCAACAATGTTGAAATTTGTAAAAAAAGCTGAGAAAGAGAAATCGAGAAAGAGAAATCAATGTATGAAATCTTTGTATAAATAGTAAATAGGACTTGATTTTTCGATAAATGCAAGTGGCAGTAACGTTATTATACTGAAGTCGAAAACGTAAATAGATATATGCTTTTTTAGCAAACTTGAGCACATGTTATAACATGCGATAAAAAATACGTGTTATTATATATACGCATAATAATATATATAAATTATAAATACATATTATAATGTATATAATTTGTATAAATTTTATATATATATAATAATTTATACATATTTATATATATATATATATATATATATGTGTGTGTATATATAATAATACGCGCTTGTGTATGTCTATTGTACGTATTAAAATAACGCATTGATTCATGTATTGTATTGTTAGTGTAACTCATAATTGTACCTTATATAGGTACGTAATCTATTTTTTTTTTCATTTTTTTTTCTATAGTAATATGATTATAGAATATTCAGAATGCACGTTAAAACAGTATCCTGCATTTATATCCTGTTATAGTAATACTGTTATCACATTTAATTGGACGTTTGCAATATTGCATTCTAAATTAATTTTATAATCATTTTATCTTCGAAATAAACTGATTATAATTAACCAGTCTTGTAATTTATCAGTTTAAATGTGCTGACAGATCCATACATGTCAGCCATGACAAATTTAGTAAAATCAGACGAAATACATATTTTTGCATTGCGACTTGGTGGTAATTCGATAACCGCTAATAACCCTGGTATTTCGGAATCTCTAACTATTTTGTTCTTCCAATATTTACTTACGTCATTAACGTCATTCGCAATGCTTTCACTTGATTCGTCATTGTTTTGTAGATTGGATACACCATTATCGCTCCGGCTGTTAGGTAGTTGTACATTTAACGACGTATTCATACTTAATGAAGGAGTGCTTGTACTGTGGCTAATGCCCATACGGCTTCTTCTCTTTACGTTGTTCTTCGATAAAGTGATGTTCCACCAAATTAGTTCATCGTCTGTCAATGATAGTAAGATGGAAGCATCTGCGGTAGTAGGAGCCCAGGACAATTGTCTAATAGGATTACTATGAAAAGATAGTTGAGTGATCTCCGTTTGTGTAAACAAATCGATAATCTAAAAACAAAATAGATATTAAATTCAAACGAATATAATGCATAAATTAATCACAAAATAAAGAAACTTACAGAAATTTTTCCTGTTTCAAAACCAACGGCGATATATTGATTATTTTGAGAAACATCACAGCAAGTTGTTTTCTGTGCAAAAGTATGTACGAAATAAGGCACACGACGAAGTTGTAAGTTGTGTTCCGGCGTTTTGTAAAATAAGTATATATCTAATTGTTGCAAATTTTTCAAGACTGCTAAATAAGTTTTGTTGTAATTCAAGCAGCTAAATGTAATAGATGACGGCGGCTGGAGCCAAATATAGTTTGTCATTTTCCAATACTTATGCACAGTATGCCAAATTTTTATTATGCCATTAGTTGTTATTGTTATCACGTGATTGTCATTTAATTTATGAATGAAAGCGATACGTCCTCCAATTATGATTTCGAATTGTTCCAATTCTTGCCACACCTGTTGAGATATTAATTAAAATTAAATTTGATGCAGTTTGATGTAATCATTGAATTACGAATTTATTACATACCGTCAGTTTACCATCTGTCCATTCACATATGACTGTGTCACAGTTATTGATATTTATAATCTGCAGAAATCTAATTGGTTCATTTAATTTCATAATAACATCCAATTTTCTATTTATTATATCAAATAACATAACAGCATGTTTTTCTGTAACATATGCTACTTTGTTTCCGTCAGGGAAAAGTTGTAAACTTAATATTTTTCCTTCGGTAGATTCAGATTCAATTGTTCGTTTTCCATATGAGACTACAATTTTCTTTGCCTGACTCTCTTTGACTATAGTGTCCAGTTCATTATACGGCTTAACAACAGCATCAAATAAATATTTCCTAATTAAATAAAAAATTATGTTTTAGTTGAAAATTTAAGGAATAAAGTATAATATAGATGTAAAAAAATATTCAAGTGCAAATTTCCGTTAATACATTACCTTGGTAATTTATCTGATTCTACTGGGAGTTTCCATCTATAAAGTAATCTATCGCCGTTTCCACAGATCTAAAAGGAAATAAAAGAAATTCTCTTAAACTTTGAATATAAACTTTAAATTCAGATAAATAGAGTAAAAATTAATAATACGTACAATATGATAACCATCGCTTCTTAACCAATAAGTATCCAAGGATGTGACGCGTCTTTTGTAAGTTGCAACCGGTTGATATCCAGAATAAGTATTCCATACATTTATAAAGCCTGCAGAATCAGCGAGAACTATATATTTACCATCGTAAGTTACAGCCGCACAGATATAAGTTACTGCATCATCTTCGACAAATGCTCTCAGTTGTTTATCAAAACTGTGCACACTATGCACACCGTAGTCTCTTTCGTCGTTCAACCACCATTTTACATACATAGCTCTCTTTTCGGTAACAATCATTAAGGAGTTAGGAAAATTGGGTACATGATTAAAGAAGATTACTTTCTCTTCTTGTAATTGCAAATTATAACAGGCGAGATATTCATAAATGCTACAATCATTCCCACCATTCGAATATAAGTCAAATGCGCCTCTGGACTCATCCATTACATGTAATAATGAAGCTTTCGCCGTAAATGCTATTTTTATTATGGATTCACTGTAATAGATGAGTAATATGTCATTTGTGTCATGCAAAAATACATAGATATTGTTACCAGCAGTTCGTATGTATTATTATACTTACTATTTGGAATCTGTTATATCAAACACAGTTTCTCCACGTCGATTCCATATCTATAAAAAGATATCACAAAATCATGTAATGTAATACGCGTTACATATATTGTATTTTTTATTCAGGAAATATTGCGATAACAAATATAGAATATCTTATTTCGTTAAAAGTCAGATGAAGAGTTAAAATTTATTTTCAACTTTAATATAATAAATACCTTAACTGTTTTGTTACTACATGCAGCAACATATTTGTCTTCGTATCCGAATGCCATATCTAGTATGATCTCATTCTTTATCGAGAATTCTATTAAACTGTCATCCTTGTCACTAATATTTCCAAAAAGACCAGACCAGCAACTTTGTTTTTGTCGTGGGCTATCTACGTGTACATGATTCTGCTCTACTTCATCATTCAACAGAAGAAATAATTTTATTATACCAATACTGCTCAATGCTAAGAAGCAGTCACCATTCGTAGATACAATCACTTTTTTAATAGAACTCTCCTCACTATGACCATTAAAGATTTTTGGTTGCTTGCTTTCACAATTCCACAAATATATTTTGCCCGATACATTTCCAGTCAGAATTAAGTTAGGATCATCTGTGAAAGATGACGTGCAAATGCTCGTTGATATCTCCTCTGTTAATGGTATATCGATGTGCTTAAGTTTTTTATCATGAGACAAGTACAAATACATTTCTCTCGACGTAGCCAGATATTTCGCTTTCTGCGCGACGTAGCCTTGATATGAATGATTCATTGCGATTTGTATTATATCCAAACAGTTCTTACGTTTGTGCTCTATTATAACGCTTGCTTGTTCTTGAAGGAATCTTTCTATATCAGACACTTTTGTTTCGTTTTCATCGTTATTCGACGTGATGTATTCTCTGTATTTTTTCAAATCCAGTAATAGATCGCTTAGACCCACATGCATTATTTTAGCTTGGATAAAATCAAAGTCAAAGTAAAGTTGTGGAAATTGAGAAAAGTATTTCGATTGCTCCAAATGATAACCGATATATGAATAAATGTAATTATCATCCGGCAATTTTGAAAAGTTGTTATCGCAACACTTGCGATACTTTTCAACTATAGATCTATGCATCTTTGTCAATTCATCTGGCGTTAGTTTTTTTCTTAGATGACATAGCAGTAAATCATGCACACCATAAATGTAACTTCTCAAATCCTTATTCCATTTTTTAGCTGCAAGAGACTTATGGCACAAATCTAGCATCAGTTCTTCGACTTGAAATATGTCTTGTCCCCAAAGAATTTCCAACGTCTAAAAAATTATTAAATATATGTAAAATTAGAAAAACATATATGTGAAAAATTATAGACTTATTTGGTAATAGTTCATTTTGTAATATATACCTTCGGAGTTATGTTAACATCTTCACTAAAAATAGCTAGACTCTTATAACGTTCTTTCAAATCCGGTTGTAATTGTTCAATGCACATATCAAAAATAATTTCTTGTTTTTTCAAAAATTCTTTCATTACTCTATAACATATCAAAATTACAATGTAATTTTAGTAATTATTATAATTTAGAGATTATACAACATTCTTACTTGTTTGTTGCATCTTTTTTCTTCAAAGATTGCAGGTAATATTTCCATCTAGTGTTACGTATTTTCATGTCATCTTTAAATTCTTCAAAATGTGCAGCAAACATAGCTATAAGTAATGGCATGCCTTTACATTCTTCATGAATTTTCTTTGCTTCTGTAGGCAATTCTTCTACTTCTACTTTCAATACTTTAGCAAATAAACCCAATGTCTCTGGTTCTGTAAATCCGTCATTAATCTGAAAACATATATCTTGTTAGAAAAATATATATTTCTTATATATATTTTTTTACTTATAGTATATAATCAGTTAAACATATATTACAAAAGTAGTACAGATATTCTAGATGGTATTACCTTTATTACTTTGGGCATTCTTCCACGAAGAACATCGATATCAGCTGTAAGAACTAAAGTCTTACATTCAAAATCAAAAGTGTTAATAATTTTTTCATCAAAAACATCATCCAAAATTAATAAAGCATTGCGATTATCTAGTTTATTAAAATGATGTTTCAAAAATCGGATTAGAGAATCTTTCCCTAATGGAGTGAATAATTCTAGTTGGATTTCTAAATTTTTCACGTAATGGTATAGTGTGTTTAATTGAATCAGTATTTCTTCATCAACTGAATGGTCACATGCAAACTTAATCCAGTAGACTTTATTCTGAAATGCGAATAGAAAAATTAATTATAAGCAAAATCAAATATTTTAATATTATATTATGAGTGTAATATTTAACACAAAACGTCATACCGAAAATAGAATTTTCCTTAATTTCACATCCTTAAGAGTGCTGGCAGTTAAGCATGATTTTCCAAATCCTTTCATACCATGTAATGCAACATATTCTGTAGGATTTAATTGTTGTAAAGCTTCCTTTAACTGTTCAACCTGCAGAATGATGTATTATACAATAGTTTTTATCTTTATTAAGAACATATATTAAGAAGCAATTTATTAAAAAATATAATTGCCAACTCTATATAAACTTACAGAATTTATGTTTCCATATGTATGCATAAAGAGAAACAAACTAGATAAGAGTTATATCATCAATTGTAACAAAATCTAAGGATGCAGAATTAAATATATATTGCTAAAAATTACAAAAATGGCTCTTTATCGTTTTGAATTATAAAATATTAGCAAATGTAATGACAAATGTATATATTTTATATTGTGATAAAATATGCATTATGTAGAGATAAATGAAATATCTATTAGGTTTTTTATAGTTAACAATTTTATCTTATCACTGATTGTATCGTGACTAATCGTGACAAAATGACTAATGTACCTGAATATTATTATACATAGATATATGTACAAGTAATTATACCTTTTCTTCCCTGGTGACTGTTAATGGAGAAAGTGGTGGAATGTTAGAAGGACCATCATAATAATCTATTTCTCCATTTGTTTCTATTTCATAATTGCCCAACATTCTATCTATTTCATCGCTAATCCAGTCATAGTGATGTTTTAAGGATTGATGAAAGACATCAAAAGCATTTGAACCACAGCTTGAAAATGTTAATACAAACACTTAATGAATGCATTGAATTCTGATGTTTATTAAAAACTATATTGCTAAATAAGAACACACATTGTGAAAGTAGCTTGTAATTTATAAGTGCTGTTACTATTAGTAAACACAATATTAAAAAAAAAAATAACATGTGAGATCGCATAATATTAGAATAGCGGAAAATATAAATGTACATACTCTGGAAGTATGTTTAACAAAATTCCTGCTCTCTCCTGTTTCGTAGCTCCGGAGTAAATGTATTTTATATTCTCCTGTGTTAAAATGTATTCAGATGTCAAAGGTTGTATGATGTCGTTATCAATATCTACATCATCTATTATATTACTCCTCAAATGATAAAGAATGTCTTTATGTGATTTCTCCATTTTTAATCAAAGTTCACAATCTGAACTATGATCCTATAATTTTTTATTGCATACTTTTGCAATTTTAATTTATATCTGAAATAAATTATAAGTCATTTAATTTAAAGTTATTGCTAATTTTAATAAAATGATAAAATAATTAATTGCTGTTAATAAAAATAATTTTCATATTTAAAATATTTTATAATTTGAATGTATCTCTCCATTCGCCGAAGGTAGTTATAAAAGTAATATATATATCTGTTATAATCATTAATTCATGTTTACAAACTTTGATGAAAATAATATATTATTTTCCAATATATTGAAAAGTTATATAATTATTATTGTAGGTATCAATATGTTATTTACAATTTTAACTTGAGAATGAGTAGAGGATATAACACTCTTAAACACAAGATCTTTTACAATTCTATTATCTCAATTTCTATTATCTCAATTTCTATTATCTCAATTTCTATTATCTCAATTATCAATATTAAAATCTTTCTAATTGTAAGTGTTATCTCTCAAAGCTAAGAAAAAAGCATCAATTTCAAACACATAAATTGCACAGATATAACTCGCGAATCACTCTTTTTAAGAAAATAATATCCATAGTGCATACAAAAAAACGTTCTTTAATTTGCTTCAATCACAATACTTACGAATTACATATTTTTTTGTCCTTTTCTTTCTTTATGTAACATGTTTTCTTTAATTGCATCAGATTGTTCAGAAATATAGAATTCGAAAAATATCGTAAATATAGTGGTTCTCGATAATATTATATATCATAAATATCGCAACTACATAATAGATATAATAAATTTGCAATTATTAACACGGTAACTGTTAATGAACTCTCCCTAAAAATTAACCAGCCAAAGATCTTGAAAGAACGCAAGTAACAAATTTTTTGTTTAAGACGAAAGATTCTATTTTTCTGCAACTATTTATACATGTATTGTATTTTTACGATAAATGTAATTCTTATTTTCCGTATTTATTAAAATAAATATTTATCTTGAAATATAATATTTTTTTCCTTTTTTCCTTTTCTATTCTGTTTTTCTCATACGGCGCCTCATAGATCGCCATCTTGATATATCTGCACAATAATCTACTTTTTCTTTTTCGTCTGTATTTAGAGAATTATTTGTTCATTTTTTTGTTCATTATTACCTCTTTCTACTGATGCTGTTGATCTCTTCAGTATCTCCAATATAAGATATTGCTATTCCGCAATTAGCTCCAGATTTTAATAGCCTAGATGCAGTTTTGGATCATGCAGGATATGCACCCTTTGTTCGTAAATTGTAGTTCTGAATAACTTCTTAGTCGCAATAACGGTACACTACACCAACAACACACTTGACAATCCACTGATCACCACTGACGATAGGATATGAATTTCGTTGCGATGTTGCCACCATTATCATTTACATTATTGCCAGATTTTATTCCCATAATACGCATGACACGTGATCATTGTCTACCCGTTGTATGAGAACTGTATTACACAAAAGCGAATGTGTCAGTGCGATAACGAAACTGTTGTTCTTAGAAAGTTATGAATGTACATCCGTATGGGCAACCAGTTCGGAGTAGGATAAAAAGACTAAAATCACACTTCACACTTACAACAGCATGCACACTGTTACCCCTGATACACATATTCTGGCTGTGTTCCAAAATTTACTGCCAGCACTGAAAATCTACAATATACGTAACGTAAACTATAGATTTCCAATACTGGCAGTGAATTTCGGAACGCAGCCATTACAATATCAGTCTGGGAAACATGACGGAAGAGAAAGAATAAATAGTGCTGCGCTCTTCTGCTGTGCGCGGGCTGGATAAAATAACTACATTTTATTAATGAAATACAAAGAATTAAAAACCAGAAATTTCGCGAGATTGTGTATTATCACGCTATTTAAATGTATTTGCAATAACTTCTTTAAATGCCAATGTAGCAATTAGATGAGAATTAGTAGCATTTTTGTAAAATTTACTTTATGCATAGAAATAATTTATTCATTTAACATTGTGTACTTAAATACTGTTTGGGAGGCAATTTTACTAAATTAAATACATTGAAATTTTTTTATGGATTTATGAAAATGTATTAATTTATTGATAAATATTTTATTATTATTTTTGCTTACTAATTATAGGCCGTAATAACATAAACAAGTTCACCAATGTACATAATCCGGTATGGTCTAGTGGCTAGGATACCTGGCTCTCACCCAGGAGGCTCGGGTTCGATTCCCGGTACCGGAATTTTTTTTTCTTGTGTGTTAATTATATTTATTGTGTTTATTTTTACGTATTTAGAGAAAAAAGTAATATATATATATATATATATATATAAATATTCGACAATTAAAATTTAACAAATAAAAAATGTAAAATAAAGTGAAAAAAATATAACCTGCGATGGCCGGGAATCGAACCCGGATCAACTGCTTGGAAGGCAACTATGCTGACCATTACACCACCATCGCAGTTGATATATTCTTCTCAGAAAAAGCAGTAGTAGTGAGTGCAGAGAGAATATCACACAAAGAACAGATCATCGATATACAGTTCATTGTCCATGATTGATGTTATTGTCAAAAGCATAACTAATTGAAGTGCTACAATAATTATTACATTTGTCGATTTTCGTAAACAATTTATGATACTTTTTGACATGGATTATTAGATTATTAGATTATTGTGTTTAGTACATTAGATTTCAATTCTGAATTAAAGGATTGACCGGTGTCGTGCGCTGGAGTGCACGAAAGGTAAACAAGATTGTGGTTATGTTGATAAAAAAAAATTTCATAAGATATGACATATAAAGAACATATTTATTGTGCGAAGATTTTATTACACTTAAATTTATGTTAGATTTGATATTTGCTTGAGTATTTGTACTTGATTTGAAATTCTAAATTAAAATCTGAAAATTAATTCTCTAACGAATGATGAAATACTTAATAATTATTTTGTATATATGTATTAATTCAATCTTTCATTAAATATCTATGTATTGATGAACATATATGAAAGAATATTTTGTATTATATATTATCAAAATTGTAAATGTTATATTAAGATTTGTTAGTTGGGTATTATTTCGTTTTATAGTAAGTTCAGAGCATCAATCATGTAATTTTTCCCTAGGAGCGGAAACGTGAAAAGTGAAAATTTTATGTGAATTCGACGAATAGAATTGTCGAATTCACATAAAAGTTTTCATGCTGGGCATGATTGATGCCCAGCAACTAAAAAACAAAAATGCGTCAAAATGTGACTCTAAATCGAACGGTCAAGAAGGAAAAGATCGTATAAAAAATTTTACCATGATTGAACAGTATGAACGTTATAAACGTACAATAATATGAACGTGCAATAATATGTACGTACTTTATTTTCTGTTATACATTATTTTTATTAAATTAAAGACAAATAGGCAAATTTACGAAATGACTATTTGGAGTACAAAGATTGATTTATATTGTATATTGAGAGATTATATTTTTTAGTTGAACGTATATGTTTTTCTATTTACGTGTAGTACGATAAAATTTTACATTAAAAGTATATTTATATGTTATAAAAGTTGAAGAATACATTATATTTATTATATTTTATTAGGAACATTTAAAATTTTTTATGATTCTGGACAAATCAGTGGTAATTGAGAGCTAGAAAAATATTGCATCGCGATTTGGCTTAAATGCAGATTTATATCCCGTAGTGAAAGATTGTATTGCTCAGGTAAATAAACATGTATGTATTTTTTCCAAAGACACGTAATAGTGCAAAAAATTATATTTAAAGCAGTATATTTATATTTTCTAGGAATAAAAAGATGGATTCTTTATCTTTTTATAAATGATAAAAAGTGAATTTTGTGGTATTGTAAAGTTTACCCTTTAATTTTTTACAGATTATAGTATGATTGCAGACAAACCACAGATAACTGAGTATTACTAAAATGCAGAATCATGATTTGACTTGCGGTTGCTAATTTATATCGTGTAGGTATGGATTGCACTTCTCGCAATCAGTTAAAAGAACATGTGTAAGTAATTTTCTCTACATATGTGTAATTTGATTAAAATTTTATTTAAAAAATAGCATAATTCTATTTTATATATATAGAAATCCCAGAAAATATTATATTTTTTATATTTTTTTAAACATAATAAAAAATTTTATTATTGTAAAAGTTATTGTCTTATATTTTACAGATCATCATGTGATCTAGAACGAACCAAAGGTATCACTCCGGGTATCAGTGATTTAGAACAAGCCAAAGTGTGCTATCGAGATGTATTATTACAATTTGACTCGTTACATATTTATATAAGGTAATGAAAAATTACATTTTTTAAATAAATAACATGAATATATACGTTTTCATATTTGCTTATTTGAATCAAAATCAATATTAAAAACAGTACATTTATATTTTATACAAATAAAAACAATATTGCGTTTGTATTTTTTTTAAGTATATGAAAAACAATAGGTTCAATAAAGATACAATAAAGATACAATAGATTCAAATTAGGTACAATAAAGAAGAAACTTTACAAATTCTAAAGATTATATTTTAATTTTTTACAGATAGCTGTGTAAATAATTCAGGATAATTCGAAGATAATTAAATATTATTGAGACATGAGATATGGCTAAGCGATTTGACTAGGGACTGCTAATTTATATTGGATTACAAGCAATTAAGTTTCCCAGACAGATAAGTTGCAATTTTTTTCTACTAATACATATAATATGTTGAAATATATATCATAATTTGATAAAATTTTAAAAACAATTTGAGTATTATGCGCAAGCCATTTTAATGATAAATTTACTTAAAATAAATGTATATGTATTTGATACAATTATTCAAATTTTAGAATCTAAAATTTTATAATAGATAACCTAATAGATAACTTATAATTTACAATTAGCAATCTTTTTATATATAAATTTTTAATTTTTCATATCATTAAACACTTAGATTAATAAACATAGAAGAGCATTTTTATTGCTGGAATTCATATATTTATATTTTATTGCTATTATTTTAACAATACACGATTCAATGAAAGTAAATATTGTGCATGATTTGTTTAATGTTATGTATACGCTAATTAATCACTCGATCATGAAATAAAATTTACTTGGAGAGTGTTCGCTTTATTTGGAATAATTGCTCGAAATTTTCGAAAGTCAGGCCTTTAAACTTAGCAAACGCAATGCAACACTGCGTGGGTACGCGCGCCAACTTCATTTCGCATTGCTTTGTGACGCGTATAAGTCGATGTGTATTATTCGCGGCTTTTTTGCTAGTCCAGAATGATTATTGTATGCAATTAAATAGCAGGGAAGTGCGAGGAAATGCGTGAATATCGAATAAGATTTCAGGCAATACTGGCAGTGCGTTTATCATAAAGATGCAGTTTGATCTGATTCAATGTACATTGGAGATTTCAGAGATGCATCGAAAACGTCGCTCCGCTTCGAAACGGTAAATATTACGATAGTCATATTTATTGTCTTATTTGCTTATTCTGAATGTATCAGAAGCGTCGGAAATGTTGAATTATTGAACAATGTTACAAATTGTTTAATATGATGTGATTAAATAATTGCTCGTTCATGAAATATTATTTATCTAGAAGGTGTTTGTTTTATTCGCTATATTGCCTGTAGAGGGTGTTTAGCTTCATTGGGAATAATTGTCCAAAAATTTTGAAAGTTAGTCATGTAAACGTAGCAAACACAGTGCAGCACTGTGTGGGTACGCGCGTCAACTTCACTTCATATTTTGCGATGTGTACAAGTCAATGTGTATTATTCGCGGCTTTTTTGCTAGTCCAGAGTGATTATTGTATGCAATTAAATAGCAGAAGTGCGAGGAAATGCTCGTGAGTATCGAATAAGATTTCAGGCAATACTGGCAGTGCGTTTATCGTATAGATGCAGCTTGATCTGATTCAATGTGCATTGGGGACTTCAGAGATGTATCGAAAACGTCGCTCCGCTTCGAAACGGTAAATATTACGATAGTCATATTTATTGTCTTATTTGCTTATTCTGAATGTATCGGAAGCGTCGGAAATGTTGAATTATTGAACAATATTATGAATTGTTTAATGTGATGTGATTAGATAATTGCTTGTTCATAAAATATTATTTATTTAGAAGGTGTTTTATTCACTTTATTCGCTATATTGCCTGTAGAGGGTGTTTAGCATTGGGAATAATTGTTCAAAATTTTTGAAAGTCAGTCATGTAAACATAGTAAACATAGTAAACACAGTGTGGTACGCACTGTGGGTACGCGCGTCAACTTCACTTCGTATTGTTTTGCGATGCGTACAAGTCGATGCGTATAATTCCTGACTTTTTTGCTTGTAAAAAATGGATATTGTACAGAAATAAGTAGAGAAGTGTGCGGAAATGATCGTGACAATCGAATAATTGCGTTTATCGTACAGATGCAACTCGATATGATTGCGCATTTGTGAATTCAGTTATACATCGAAAATGCCGATCAGATTGTTGCGCAGCTTCGGGACGGTAAATATGACAACAGTAATCATATGTTTTGTTTCATTTATTCGTTCTGAATGTATCAAAAAGGTCGGAAATGTAGAATTGTTGAATAATACAATTTATTTAATGTGATGTGTCCGATAATTATTTGCGTATTCGCGAAATTTCGAGCTATTAAACATATGAAGTGCGCATGCGCTGCCATTAATTTTGCTGTGTTATATTATTCGAAATCAGAGTAGAATTTGGATGCCTGGGCTTGTGTAGAATAATAACAGGTGGCTATTCGGAATAGCCACAGGACATTTTTTGATATCTTAAATTTTTTTGCATAGATTGTACGTGAGGTAAAACTTTTGAACGAAAATGGAGACAATGGAGAAAGATATCTTCGAAGCTCTATGTAATGCTATGGACAATTCTAATAATTATACAATTGGTGAGTGAATTATTGCATTCGCTTATCTCTGATTATTTATTTACTTTCAGCAATATGATATTAATCAATATCATAGTATTATATTAGTGGCGTTACGTTGCATACGGTTTATAATAAATAATTTTACTGCAAATTTTGAATTGCATTGTAATCAATAATAAAAAATAAAAAATATAACATATTGATAATCTGTTTGTTTATCTGTTTTACTGATTTGTTTTGAAGCGTATTGAGAATTTTGGTAACTCTTATTTGTGATAGATAAAAAAGTACAGTATAATTGATAAAATATAATTAAAACTTCATAATTACACATATACACTTATTTGCACTGTCAATAAACAATATTCTCATTTAGTGCATATTCATAATCACAAATTGTTACTTTATATATTTTTAGAAATAAAAAGAAAGAAATTTTATTGTAAAAGTTATTTTTTTATTTTTTACAGATTGTGATTTGAAGAGGGACAAGCTAAAAATAAATGTGTGTCATCAAGATGCGCGATGATGATCAGGCTGATTAACATCAGTAACGAGATATTGCATTTTAGTTAAACAAAAATGTATGTATTTTCTTCTATATATGTAACAACTAAAATTTATTGAAAGCAACACATTTATATTTTATAGAAGTTGAAGAAAATGTTATATTCTTTGCATTGTTTCAGAAATAAACGAAAAGAAATTTCATTATTATAAAGGTTTTCTTTTACAATTTTTTTACAGATAATTATGTGATTTGGGGCAAGCCAAAAGAGCTGTGTTATTGAGATGCATGACTGCAGTCTTTAGTTAAACAGATGCAATAAAAAAGCAAGTGTAACATTCAAGATTGGAGGAAGATTGGATTCACGGAAATGTCAGTAAAATTTATGGTGAAAAAAGCACCGACGATTAAAGATAATCGACGAAGGCAGATGTTGCGGTTTTCCAGTCGCTGCGTCGGTGAGTCATGATATAAAAACTTATGTTTATATGAAATGGATGCAATTTACAATAAATGAAACAAATATTATTATTAATGCTTGTTGCAAATTAAGGTTATTTACCTGGTATTTGAATAACATAATTTTATTGTAGGAATAAATTATTAAATTAAGTTGTACACATTTTACATATTTTATATTTTGATATTAGTTCTTTTATTAATGATTTGAACCATATGGTTCTTCAAGTTATAATTAACATATATATAATAATTTTAAATCGTTTTCATAATATATTTGAAAATAGCAAAATAGATTCCAAATTATTTTTTGTAAAAGCAAAAATGTAAAAATTTATCAAATTTCTTATAAAAATATTCATAAAAAATGAATAAATATTGACAAAGAAAGTGGATATTAGTACACTAATTAAAAGTATAACACATCTTATATTATTTTTAGAAATATATATCAAAATTTTTCTCTGCACATATTAGTTCTTAGTTTTATTTATTGCAAATTGCTTGATTTTTGTTACACAAATATGTATATTAAATTGTGGTTTTCATTGATTTGATTGAAAACATATTTTGCAATATTCAAACGCATGCAGAAAGCATATTATTTTTGCCGCGTAGTAACAACTCTAACGAACAGAAACGTAGATGCAGATAATTTCAGTAGATATCACGTTGATTACACTTGCTTTACGATTAATCATCCGATTTATCTATAAAAGAAATCGAATCGTCGAGAAGAGGCCAAACAAAAATAGATTAGGAAAATCAGCAACCGAAATAATCGTGATATAGTCTCCAAGTTAAACATTAGTAGATATCATGATATTATCATCTTTAATAATGAACTAATGACAGAAAATGAGCCATTTGTAAAAGCTTTCGTAACATGTGCGCGGACTTCGTCGAATTTCACTGATAAAAATTGCATTGATAAAAGAGCTTTAAGATATGCACACCTCTCACTCAAGCTTATCCTTTAATTATGAAAAAGTCTCATTAGAAAAATGCACGGGTTATGCGAATTACGATCGGCTGCGATTACTTTCGATGCGCATTTATCTGCGGATTTGCATATCGCGTGTATATGCTCATACGCAGCAGGGGACGCATGAATACAGGCGCCGTCGGTGCTGAGTGTTTGTACAATGAATTACAAAGCAAGACGATTTCTTTTTGCACTTCCATTCTAATTGCCGCTGTCAAAAATTACGCTTTCTGCATGCGTTCTTAAAATTGCCGGTGGCGGGAATGTTTTATCATGATTTGGTGCTATATATTGATACAGCAAAATATTGCGTATATTTGATAACGGAAAATGTATATAACATTTTCTAACATATAGAATGTCTTTCCTTTGCATACATAATGCAATGCATAGTGCATAATTGCATACATTTTTAATAACATATCATTAATAACAAATTTTCTATTGAATCCGATGATTGCTTTGTGGGAAAATTAAGCAAGTTTTTCAGAAATAATTTTATTAGATTAAAAAATAAATAGTATTGTTTAGAGTTTTTAAAATAGAATTAAAAGATTAATTTTAAATATATTTGACCAAATTAAAAAAACTGATATATTTTTTAATCTAATATTAATTTAGTACTTTCTATAAGTGTAAATTGAAAAGTATTAATGCCTTTAAAAAGAAAGTATCATTGTGTTTACAAACCTGCAGCAATTTAATAACGTCTTCTCTATTTTTTCGTATAAATTTATTTCCCGTCCAAGCGAACGAGATTACTCGGACTTATGGTATAGTACCTTGCATTTCCTCGTTGCTCGCAGGATTGTCTGATAGCTTCGCGTTCTACTTTCGGCAACTTCCCTGGAAGTTCGTTGCCCGTTCCGATCGTTATTTATTCAAGTTTTGTTTGCGCTCTGTCTGAGATCTATTTGCATCCTATACGAGGGCATTGGTAATGATGAGAATTCGTAATAGAAAATATATTTTGATGGATAAATCAGAAAAATAATGGTTCAGCATTAAGATAATTATTATAATTCTTTTTATACTATAATCAAGTTTTTATAATAATATATTATTATAATATTATATTATAATAATAATATATTATTCTGCCAAAATAAGTAAGATTGCGGTATAAATTATCTATGTACAAAGATATTAAATAAATTATAGAATGTCTTACGTAACGTCAGGTCGCTTCACGCTATGCGGAGAGAATATACCTCAGCCATATACTATACAACACAATTCCATTAAATTCTCCACTAATTGTCAATTGGCAAATACAGAGCCATTGTCTAATCTCCTCCTCGGGCTCGTCTTCCCTTGAATGAACTGCGAGAGGACATACTCGGGGCCCTCTTAGCGATCGATCGATCTGCTCTAGTCCAAGCACTTCAAATAGTGTGATCGTGGTATGCGTTCAGGAATGGCAATAACGTTGATAGGATAGTAATATGATTATCACCTGTGCAAGAGCACCGATAGTGGTGCTACACGTATAATTAGAGGCAGGATTGAAGGGGCGGAACGATAGCGTTCAGGCAAGAGGGGTTGGGAGGAGGGTACGCAAGTATAATGCCATGCAAATACAGCTCATCACTTGGTCCGCCAGGAATGGAGTGCATTAATCCGCTAATGCACATGGGTCCCGTAAAATTAGATTCGACCAGATTTAGTTGGAAATGCGATATTTCAGTGTCGACCGAATTCCCAACAACGACTGCCAGCGGAGAACGCGCGGTAGCGTAACGTAGAGCGGCTTCTGTAATGCGACCGGCGTGAAACGTTGTTACTCGTCAGCGAGATTAATGACGATATATCGCATCCTCGATC